TATTTTTATAATAATTAATAAGTCTTACAATTTTATTTTTTCTTTATCAAATAGTTTCTTTCAAATTGTGACATCATTTTATTCTTCAAAACTATTGTGTATGGCCTTAAGGTTTTGTTATATATGGTGTATTAACTTTGCCTACAGCTATGTAATATGAGCAGTTTCTTTGGATGTAAACTTTTTCAACTCAATCTAAAATAGAATGACATATTTAACCTCAAGAAACGTATTGATACTACGACAGAGAAAAATTATTGGCATATAACTGCTATAAATTTTTTTTATTTTTATTAAATGAATCATTTATCCGGTCTAAGTTTTAAAATATAAGTAAATTCTCTATTCCTTTACAAAAAAGCATAAATTACACTAAAAATATATAATTTTTTATAGTTTTAATCAATAAAATCTTTATACTAACAAGTTACCTTTATATACTTTAAAATTCTTATAATTATAACCATAAAAGGTAAATATTAATGAATTTTTAATTCTACATTTTAAAATAGTTTTATTTATATGCTATTTTACATTTTATTTTATCCAATAAGCTTAATTTTGAAAGAAAAAGGTAGCTCAAGTTGATATAAAATTCGAAATATCAAATCTGATGATGCAAATTTATTTTTTTGTAATTTTATATTATTCAGTAAAATTTATTTTAAAAAAGTCTTATATTATAAATTTATAAAGAAGTGAATTTATTTTATAATAACCGCATTCAACTGTACGTTATTAATTTATAATAACAACATTCAATTTAATAATAAGAATGTAATTAATATAAATTACTATATTAGCATATTTTAAAACATTTATTTTAGTTGGTAAATTATAATTAATAAAGTTTTCAGTCATTTATATAACTCAAATTTAATAAATTTCCTATTTATATCAAGGTTAAGTTTACGTCGTATATCATAAACGATTATAAAGAGTTGACTATTAACAATATGTGCAATGAGTTGCAAAATATTAAATTAAAACTGTGATAACATAAATTCTTTATGAATTAAATTATTTAATAAACTACATAAATGCTTTTAATTTTTTAAAGCAATTTTAATTTATTTTTAAGAACTCTTTTTTTTAAAAGAAATTTTACTTTTTAATTTATATTTTTTTAAATCTTTATGACCGAATTTACTTTTTAATTATGATGAAGTCATTTAATATTCATTATTATTTTAAGCTATTTTTTCCAGTTATAAATTATTAAATTTAGTTTAAAAATCACATTTCAATTTTTGTTTTTCATTAAATATAACAAGAATTTAATTTATAATTAAACTATCTCATTGTGTTATTCTCACGCATTACATTTAATTTTGTTGTAGTTGTTCATTGATATATTTAGTTTTAATACGAATTTTTAAAGAATTACAAAGGATTAAATAATTTTTTATTGAATTATATTAATTTGAACTTAGTAGGATGGCATGTAGAGTTAGTTATCTACCAAATCTTTTGTAAATTATCAAGTAATTTCTGTCAATGTTATCGTTTCTCATTCTATTTTCTTCAGTATTTATACTTAAATGTCAAATAAGGATGCAATTAGCTTAATAAAACAGCTCGAAACTCTATTTGGAATTTTTTTTCTAAGCATTATAAATAGAAACGAAAGGAATTGAAAATCATTTTCAATTAAACTACCAATTTATTACCTTCAGGTAAGTTTTTATAAAAGAGGATTTCGTCGCTAACAAGAATTACATTTAATTGATTGATCTCTTTCCTTTCTTTGTCATTTGCTTTATCCCATTGTTTCTCTTGGTTAAAAAAGATATTTTCCTTCATTTGTTAAGTATTCTAGAAAATTATTCAAGTGCGTCATCTCTTAAACTTTTCCAACGTGGAGTTTTTTTTTTAAACTTTTCTAATTAATTTCTAAAATTTTTCAGCGTTTAATTAATATAAAAAATATTAAAATACTCTCATTTGTTTAATTAAAATAACATAGATAGTAAAATTGATATTTACATCATTTATTGTTATTATTTTTTTGTATCTATCTCTTTGTAGTAATTTTTCTTCATTATTATCTTAGGTATACTTTTTTTATTATTTGTGATAAATCTTTTGTTTAATGTAAGACAGTGGTATGATAATGAAACAATGTATGTCATGACTGAAGTTACAATAACTATATCCACAGATGGTGTAAGATTACCAGATAACCACAGACAAACCGTTTATCCCAATGGGACTTTCTTGGTCAGAGCCACTGAGAGATCCGCAGACGACGGGAGATACACGTGTGTTGCAATAAATAAGGAAGGAGAAAGTGCTCAAGGGAGCATCAATGTCACTATTAGAGGCAAGTGTTCTGTCCATTGTAGCAGAAATGTCCTGTTCTTCTAAGAAATAATGTTCTTGAAGAGTCCATTTACCTTTTGCTTACTGTTCCTTAGATGCTCTCTTTTGTTTCTAAAATGTTTCATAAAAAAAATAATGATTAATCTTAGATACTCACCTCTACGTGGGTAACTAAATGTGTTTTGTAGAAATTATTTTAAAATGTAATTATATTTTTTGTTGTAATTTCTTTGTACTTTATTATCATCTCGTATTCGTGCAATTTATTTTATTGTTTACTCTTATACTGTGCGGATTTTAATAAGAGCATCTTAAAAAATTAATTTCGATTACCTTACGTAGAGATTATTATTTTAATACATTTCCAGATGTAAACGTGAAGCTATTTTACGTGTTACATTATTAAGTAAACTATAATTTTTTAAAAAAGATAAAAGAATAGTTTATAGTACTTGTGTAGTGTAGTTTTAATATATTTTATTCATAAACTAAATAAATAAAAGAAAAAAAATCTAATTGAAAAACTCTTATTATATGTAGACCAAGTTTTTAAAAAGGAAGCGAAATGAAAATTAATATTTATCAATGCAAAAATTAAGCGAAAAAATCTGTTTAACGATCAAATGGTTAGAAAAAGGATCAAAGGATAATCATAATGGGTTGGAGATTTGCAAATATGAATAGATTAACACGGTCAAAGAAGAGGATGATAGAAGCGCTATTGAAACTCTTGCCATAATAAGCGATAAAATAAAGCTGATATTCATAAGAAGTTAATTTTTAAAAAGAATTCTGCATTCAAATCAGCATTAAAATAAAAGTTTTCAGTTAAAAATATCAAAGAGAAATCGTCATTCCTTTCATTCAATCGATATATTTTCAACAAGTATATTCAAATAATAAAATTTATGGCAAAGCTGAGATATACTGATCTTATTTTCTTTGATATTATGTAAATCTTTTGTATAATATTTTAGATTAATTTATATTTTAATATTATAAGTTTATGTCATATGTAGATTGATCAGTGTTTGAATATTTTTAGATATGAATGAGTTAAACTATGTAATATTTTCGATTNCTTAACATAGCAAAAATAAGTCAAGATTTTTATGATTTATTTATTAAAATTTTTTATTTTGTATCTTCTTTATACTAAAAAGAAAAAAACACTTTAAATATGATAAACTAACTGCATTATTCTAGCTATATCTATAACCGAAATATTCAATTTTAGATAATCCTCCAAACCTCTTGTATCGTTTTAACGACATACTGTCAAAGCCAGGATCACAGGTATCTTTAAAATGCATCGCCGCAGGCAACCCCCTGCCACAGATAACATGGACTTTAGATTCAATGGCTGTACCAGAAGAAGGTGGATTCAGAACTGGAGATTATGTCACTTCGGATAATACAGTTGTCAGTTATGTCAACGTAAGTGATGTAAGTACCGAACACGGAGGGCAATACACATGCACTGCAAGAAATGGAGCTGGTATAGCAACTCATAGCGGAATGCTTAAAGTTCCTGGACCACCTTTCATTAGAAAAATGAAAAATAGAATGGTAGTTGCCGGAGAAACTATGGTCCTTCGCTGTCCAGTTGGTGGCTATCCCATAGACAAAATCACCTGGGAAAGAGGTAATTTATAATTTATACTATTTTTATCAATAATATAATATAGTACATTCTAAATTTATAGTAGTAACTATTTTCGGCCAACAAACATTTTTCCTTACTGTAATGATTCTTTTTCAAGTTAATGCTAGGAAATTCTGAATTATAATATTTATCTCAAGCAGTTTTGGAGAATAATATTTGAAATACCTTCAAGGAATACGAATTGAAAAAGTGAACACAAAGAAATTTCATGGATCGTCACGGCTTTCTAGATAAAAATAAGAAAGTTATATAAAGTAAAACGAATATATCATCGTGTACATTAACTGAAAATTGTCATACTAAATATTAAAATGCTTTATAGATATTGAGATACAAAATTCATAGGATATATTTATTCTGAATAACTTTTTTCTCCTAGAAAGTACACAAATCTCAAGTATTTATCATTATATTAAATTGTAAGTGCTGGATCTATGATAAGCTTATAGAAAATAGCGTTTTTATTAGTTTTAATAGTTATAAACAGAAATATATATTACAAGATTAATACATACACTGTGATGATCACTTAAATAACATTTTAAAGTTATTTTAAGGGTCAGTCTTATATATTTTAGTATAATTAATATTTTTGGTTATATATTTCTCTACAAGCATAGAAAATTTTAAAAAGTTATGGAAGATTTGTTTATTTATATTAGTGGAAAGTAATCGCAGAGGAAAATAAATATGAAAACTAAAATAACGAAGTTAACATCTTTTAGTTTACATTTAATTTATCCGTTACTTTCAAACTAGTGTATTTGCCTTAATTAAACTTTTTTTACATCAAAATTTATATCTTAGTCTCATAGTAGAGAGGTTTATAATTAAAACGGAACGTGTGAAACAAAAGTAGCGTAATTATATTTAAAGTTAGTGACACAAAATGATGATAAGGTCAACATTCTTAAATTTGAGTTGTTGTGTTAATAATTTTAAAATTATTACGCAGCGTTTTGTCTTTTGTTTAACAGATATCTATTTGAAAATTTTTATTTTATCTGTAATTAATACTTTCTGAAACCTTATTGTTATCATTACATTAATAGGCATAAGCCTCTCATTCTGTGACTCCATTCACTCTATAACATTGATTAGCTGGAGTAAGCAATAAAGGAAATGACTTGCAATAATCGTATTGCTAACATATTCGAAAATAAATCTACTTCTTAGCATAATCCTATAACAAAACAAGGATTTAATTAAGTTAGAATCTATTGAATACATAAAACTTATAAACTTAGTAAAGGATGAGCTAACTAAAATTCGATCTCAATGTTCTTGATGCTGTTTACATAAATGAGTTTGTGATTGCATTAATTATATATAAATTTGGATTTTCTAATACATTATAAGCAGGAAAGGATATAAGCCCCTATTCAATTTCAGATAAAAGTAGAGTTATTATTTGAAGAGAAATAATTGAAAATTAAATATTTCTGAAACATCTCAATTTAAAAAAAAATAAGTAAATGTTATAAATGTCTAATGAGTAATTTATATTGTTTATTATCAATCAATCAATCAATCAATATTTATTTCCAAGGAAAATTTTCCCTTTTTGAGGGAGAATACAATTTCACAGTAACAACATTGTTTATTATTTATATACACTCCTTTAAATTGATAATTTATTTTTCGTATGTATTGTTACATTATAACGTAATTAAATTTAATAAAAAAAATTAAAAATTTGTGTTACATTCAAAGCATTTTTCTAAACTATTGAATTTCCTGACCAAAATTGATTCCAATCTCTGCTGAATAGACAATAAACTTATATAAATATATATATAAATTTTATCTAAAAAAAATTCTGTTATTATTCTTAAAAACACATTTAAAATTATTCTTTTTTTGAATAATAATACTAGATCTGATTCTAGTAATAATACAAATATAAAAGTCTTTAATACTCTTAATGTGATTTGCACAGTTGATTCTAGTTATTATCACCATTACTTTAATAAGTAATGGATATATTGATCTTCCAAACAAATTCCCATGACTAAATTAGAAACAATAATGGATGAAAAAGGATATTATATATTGTTTTTACTTTTTATTTTTGTCATGTATTATTGATAAGAGATGATAAAGCATATTTTTGTTAAGTAAAAATGTCATAGGAAAGTCTATTAATCTATAAATTTAATACCAGCGATAAAGAATTATTATTAAAATTATGTCGATGGATCGTCTAGTTGTAGAATAATAATTTTGAAACTTGGTGATTAGTTTTAATTTATTATCTTTATTATTTTATGTGAATCAATGACTAGAAATATAATCAGAAAACGGAAATGTTCATCACCAAAATCGAATAGCTTCTGAGTAAGAGTAAAATTTACAGAATAATAATGCATTATTTCATGAAAATATACAACCGAGAGTATTTCTCATCTAGTAATAAAAATTTTAAGACATTGCTGTCTTGTATCTAAAAAAGTGGAAAAAAATTTATAGCTATTTATGTAGATTAATAAAAAGTTAACGAGATGCTGATTTTAAACGATAGACATCAAATCTCAATCAAAGTTGTAATGTTTTGCTTGTTATCCAAGGTTTAGGGAGATTTTCTAGTGTTATATCTTAAATTGCAATTTTAGAACTGATTATGGTTAATAAAATCTTAACAATCTCTCCGTCTTTCTTAGAAGTTTCGAGGTGGAATCTGCTTCTGATCCATTTTTCCAAAATTTATTTTACAGTAATGTAATATCCAGTACATTAAATTTAATCGCAGTTTTAACTAATGAATGCAGAATACAATTAAGAAACTTTACTGTCAAAAGTTATAAAATAAATTCTCTTTAAACTTGAGAATTATGAACTTGTACGCTAAAACAGCATTATTTTTATTATTATAGTTTTTACATAATTAAAATACTGTTATAAAAGTAACTTTTTTTTTTACAGAGTAGTTTATATTTTAATATTATAAGTTTATGTCATATGTAGATTGATCAGTGTTTGAATATTTTTAGATATGAATGAGTTAAACTATGTAATATTTTCGATTTTAGTTCTTTAGTTTTGTAATAGTTTTACTTACAAACTGGAAAAAAATCATATCTTTTCATCACCACTTCCATTAAAGTAGGATTACATTTGTACTCTTCCGAAATCTCTTTCAAGAAAATATTATAATTCGTTTCGAAGTATTTTTACGGGTGGGTTTATGTAGGATTATCATAAGAATGTCATTCGTAGTTTTTTCCCCTTTTTATAATGAATCTCGTAGTAAATCCTCTTCTTTAATCAAACTTATAATAATAAAAGGTAAATTCGTGTTTTTGAAGATCAATTTTATATTAAAAAATGATAAATAATGATAAAGAATTATTAAATTTTTACATATTGTTGAAAATATGCATGCATTTATTTACTATGGTATAATAAATCAAAGTATATGCATTCCTTCATTGAAAGGATTATATTTAGTTTAATAAACTATAAACAATGTTAAGAAGATAGTAAATAAAAACTTAATAAATAAAGATTAACAATAATATTTAGAATATATTAAATAGATAATGTGAGATTCTGGCAGAAAGAGAACGCCCATATTCAGGAATAAGTAAAAATAAATATTTAATAGAAAAAAAAAAGAAATAAATAAGAAAGTGCAAACAGCCACGTCATCACCTACTCTTTAAAAATTTCTCATTCGTTTTTCAGGCATGCACTCTCGAAACTTCATTTTTATTTTTTTATTTAATCCCACAGTAACATAGCGTAATTATTTATCATCATCATCTTTCTCTTGTTACAACACTAATGAGGGACTGTTCATAAATTAGGTAACTTAGATCTGAGTGGGTGGATTTGCAGGTGACTTAATCGTTACGATGCGTACAGGAGTGTAACGGTAGTTGAAAAGTATAAAAATAGCGTTACGTAATTTATGGACGATCCTTGAGTCAAGTTAATCAAAGCCTTCGATTCTCTCTTATCTTCCCAGAATTTTTCTTCGTATAGTATCTTCCAGTGTTTTTATTGTTTTATTCTTAGTAAAAATATATAATATAACAAAGTAAATAATTACTTGTAAGTATTATATTTGTTTATGCTTATTTGCACCACATTCTTACTGTAAAAATGTATTAAGAATTATAAAAAAAGGAGTTCCAATAAATATATAATAGTATTAATTGTCTTATTTCAAGCGTTAAATTGTAAATTTTGAATAAAAATGTACAAAAATTGAAAGCAATAATACCGAAAATTCAATACTTTTTCCCAATGCAAGTATTGGTTGCAGGAATGTAAAATTGAATGTTATCTTGCTTTTGATGGAAAGGCATCTAAATGTGTCAAAAGTAAAATGTTTCCATTTTCTGCACAATCATTCAAAAAATACTACTTTTTTCAATCACGAACAAAGCTTTTTTTTTTTAAAAAAAAAATACAAACATTTTTTTTGTTAAAAATATTTAAAATAAAATATTTAGAATAATATTGTATAAAATCCATTTATTATCTCCAAGTATGTCGAAACTAAGAATATTAAAATTTAATATTATTATATAAATATTAAATTGTGTACGAATAGCTTTAAAAACTTAAGAGAGTGAAATCTCTCTGTACAATTTCTACATCCGTTTTGATATAAAAAAATAGTGTTTGGAAAATACTAAAATATAAAAACTGTAAAAAACCCACAGTAAAAAATTTTATAAAGTAGAATAAAGAGATCAACGTAAAGATTTACAAATAAATCTTCATGTTGATCTCTTTTATTCTACTTTTTATTGGTCAAGATTCAAAACCAGCAGATTTGTTTTTTATTTATTTACTTTACTTTTTTGGTCTTCGTTTCTATCGAAGAAAAAATAAATAAAAAATAAAATAAAATAAATTGCAGATTCACAATAAATTGCAACTCGGATACTTCAGGAAATAACTATTACTATCGTTATAAATAATATCTCAATGTTGATTTTTTTTTTCTTCTAATGGCATCGTTTATAAGAAAACTTTATGAATTTTCCCGCTTACTGTTGAATGTATTATTCAACAAATATAATGTGAATAAGAAAAGAATTGAGTAAAATTACGAACAATTAAATTTTTTGGCAGAAAGGAAATGATATTCCGTGACTTTTATAATTTGATATAGATAGAGTCTGAAGTTCTTAATGACAAAAGCGCAACTTCACTCTCATTTTTCACTAAAATGTAAAAGTTATGCTTCCTCTCTCGAGTTTTAAATCCTTTAAAATTAAGCTATTCGT